CGTGATTCATCGGACCACATGACTTTTTTCCAATGCTCGACTGTCCAATCCTTGTGTTCCTGTGCTTGGGTAACTGTTGTGGTAAACAACCTGCTTCCCTATTTATAATGGTCTGGCCCTCTAACAACTTCAGCGTGAAATTATAGCTAATTTGCCTACAAATGTCATAATAATCTGGCCACTCAGTGTTTATGCAATGTGATTTTCTGGAGGGTTACCTGAGGCAGAGGGGAGAGCATGATGGGGGGCGTCTGGCACAAGGGGTTCAGGAGGACCTGTGGGGAAGGGGCATGTGATCGGAGCCCTGAAAGGAAGGGGAGGAATGGGAGATCTGGGGAAGAGTGCTCCAGAGAAGGAATGCAGCAGGCAGGGGAGGTGTGCTCTGGGTGGGCTGAGCAGCAGCAAGGTCACTGTGGGTCATTATAGGGAAAGGGGGCAGCAACAGGTCATAGGGCCTGATCTTACAAGCCCTGGGGGAAGAGGTCAGGTTGCAATTTGTGTGCAATGCATCAGTAGGCTGAGAACAGCGGTGTGGCAGGATCCAATTTGCAAATTAAAAACTCACATTCTGGTGGCTGGAGATGACTTTGGAGGAGGAACAGGGAGGAGGCAGAGGGAGGAGAGGAAGCAAGAGGCCACTGGAGCTGTAGGCAGCTGGACACAGGAGTCTGGAGGTTGGGGGAGAGATGGGGATGGTGGGAAGAGAGACAGACATTTGCAAGTTGTCGGCATGTGAAAGGGTTCGAAAGATTCTGCAAAAGATGAGCCCAGTTCAGGAAAGAATGGAGAGAAAAGAGAGGGAGGGTCCCAGGCCTGGGATGTGATCTGACTCAGACATCAGTTTGCAGAATGACATGGGGACATCTTTCTGGGCCTCAGATTCTATAACTGAACCTACAACTTTATCTCTAAAGACTCTCTTCCTTGAATATTCATGGGCCTGGGTTCACGTCCTACACTTGGGGCCCCAGCCCGGGCCTAGGCCTCGCTCACACAACCTCTGCTGAGCCTGCTTCCTGCAACGTGCCGAGGTGGGCACCATGGGTGTATGATCCCTGCAGTTGCAAAGACTGTCGCTCAGAGGGACTCATGCTTGATTTACTGCTCTGCTGTCACTGTCTGGAAACACTTAATGGTTTTGAACAAGGGGCCGTGCATTCTCAGTTTGCACCGGGCACTGCTAATTCTGTGCCGCCACCTGTCCTTGGCCTCCAGGGGTGAGGGAGGCAAACTCCCGCAGAGGCAGCAGGCATGACTGGGCAGCCTGGCGGGGAGGGTGGGCAGGAGGCCCCTCAGGTGGCTGCATGCGAGGGTGGAGGACCCTTGATGGACCCCTCTGTGGCATCTGGGTCCCTGATATCACTAGCACCAGCCTCCCCCCACCCCTCCAGATCTGATACCTGCCCAGTCCAACAAACTTCCCTGTTTCAGGAGGTGAAGACTTCAGCCACTGTGTGGGTGGACTGGCTCCAGGTACCTTCACCCCCATGAAAGCAAACAAGCGCAACAATGGGAGGTGATGGGTGAAGATCAAGGCCCAGAGAGTGGCTCTATGCACCCAGGTGGGCACGTGTGGGAGCAGGGGAAGAAAGTGAAACAGTGAAGTGAAGGGAGCTTGGTAATGTGCACCTAGAGAGACCAGCAAGCCAGAGGGGCCAATGGGGAAGTCACCGGGAGGGTTGTTTCGCTTAAGAGAAAGAAGGACTTTCTAACAATTAGCGCTGTCCAGTAATGAAACCTCTTATCTTCTGTGGGTGGAGCTTTCCCTCCCGGGTGTGCAAGTACAGGACTCTTGTCAGGGACGCTGGAGAGAGAATCCAGCTGAGCAGTTGGATGAGAGAAGTGTGTTTTTCAAACCATAGGACACAACACAGTCATGAGTCATGAAATCAATTTAATAAACTAACCCAGCATTTTTTTTTAATGGAAACGATAGGAGAGGAGAAAGAGAAGAGATGTAGGTTTAGGCCACATAGTGAGGGAAAATGCCACTCTGAAGTTTTCAGTGTGTGTGTGTGTGTGTGTGTGTGTGTGTGTGTGTGTGTACATGCGCACTGCATGGGAATACAAAGTGTATGGCTAACTGGGTGGTTGTCAAAAAGATTGAAAGCCTTGGGAAGTTGATATCTAAGATCCTTTCAACGTTGCAGTTATGTGAGGCAATGCAAAGATTTTATGTATGGAATTATGAGACTAGGAGTCTAAGCCTCCTTTCTTTATTTTTTATTATTTTACTTCACATTTATTTAATTCCTGTTCTAAGCCGTACTGGGTGCTAGAGGCAAAGAGATAGATCAGAATCAGTCCCTGCCCTCCAGTCAAGTGATGGAGACAGACATTTAAACAGGTGATTATAATGCAGCGTGGTAAGTGCTCCGGAAGGCACTTGGCTAAGGTTGGTGCATATTTCATCCAACCCCCTGAGGGAGGCACTTCCTTAGCACCATTTAGCAGATGAGAGAAGAATCACGGCTCAAATGGTGACAATAAGGGTTCATCAAGGTCCCCCAGCAGATTTGTGACTGAACCCAAGCCCTCATGAGGGCAGGGATGGGGGTGGAGTCACAGGAAGGAAGAGAAGAAGGGACTGACAGCAGCTGGGGTAGGGGGAGAGAGAAAAGCATCACAGCAGAAGGAACCCTTGAACTATATCTTGAAGGAAGAGTAGGGGTGATGGCTTGACAAGGGGGTTAAAGTGTTCCTTTCCTCAATGGACAGCCAGAAGTGATGCTGAAGATAAGAGAGAGTGCGGAATTTAGAGCAAGCAGACCTGATTTGAACTTTAGCTTCAGCTTTACTAGCTGTGTGACCCTGGGAAAGTCACCTAACCTGTACGGGCCTCCATTTCTCCACATTAAATGGGAATTATCATGAGATTAGAGAGCTCGTGTACGTAACGTGTCTAGCATTAGCACAGCGCCTGGCCAATAGGATGAGCTTCATGCTGATTACAAACCCATCAGTGAGGTTCCCTAAGCTCTGACACTTAGCATCTGGGTAACCTTGGGCAAGTGACTAACCTCTCTCTGCCTCAGTTTCCTCATCTGTAAAATGGGACTAATAATAGTACCTACCACACAAAGTTATGAAAATAAAATAAATTAATACAGATGAAGTGCTTAGAAGAGTTATCAGGCACAAATTAGGTGCATGACAGAGATTGGCCACTGTTAATACTTCTGTGTGCTCCATGCTATGATACGAGCTTTGTAATTTTATTCACTAATTAGATTAACAGATGAATGTTGAAGGTTTGCCATGTTCTAGGGCAGTGGTCGGCAAACTCATTAGTCAACAGAGCCAAATATCAACAGTACAACGATTGAAATTTCTTTTGAGAGCCAAATTTTTAAAACTTAAACTATATAGGTAGGTACATTGCTATTAACTTAATTAGGGTACTCCTAAGGCTTAGGAAGAGCCACACTCAAGGGGCCAAAGAGCTGCATGTGGCTGGTTCTAGGGAATGTCCAAGGTGCATCAGGGACTCTCAATTAGCTTAATACTTAGCTGGAACCTTGAGTGTGATGTCAAGTTTGTTTTCTAGGGGGGAGGATTTTGTGGGAGGTGAGCTAGGTGGTGAAAAGTGAGGTAGGAGAGGTGGAACAGGACAGATAATGAAAAATATTTAATGTCATGTCAGCCTGGAAGAAGTGGAGAGTCCATGGAGATTTTCAATCTAGGGAATTTTTATTCTTAGAATTTATGATTTCTCAGCTGCAAACCTGAGTTTATGTGCTGCAGTCTTTATGATTCCAAGATTATATATAGTCCAATGATTTTGTGAACCTTAATATTTCTTACTTGCTGTGGTGGGTTGATATAAAAATGGTCACAATAGGGACTTCTGGTTTCAACTCCCCATATGTAAAGAGCTTAAAAGCCATTACCCCAGTTTTTACAACAAGAAAAAGTTGGATAAGCTGAAAATCAATGACCTCCCTTGAATCCATCAGAGAACGGAGGTTGCAAGGCAAACTGCCACCCCAAAATCGGGGAGTCAGGTGCATCCAACACCAAGATTGGCCTCCCTGCAGCAATGCTGTAAACCGGTGGGAACACGTAGGTGGTAATTCTGCTGAATTGCTAAAGGCTGAGTGGGGACCAGCATAAGAGTCAGGAGCTCCTGGGGCCCCCAGTCATGGGGGGAGACCTCATAATTTTGCAGATTCTTCCTCCAGGAACCTCACTGGGTTCCGATGTGGAGGATCTGACAGGGTTCATCATGTAACTCAGACAGAGAGAAGGCAAAGCATCGCCATGGTGAAGCCCGCCCATTCCCTTCCCCAATCCCAGTGGGTAGGACGCTGCCAGAAGGCAATTCAGAGGCTTTACTGCACGTAAGGCAAAAGGAACTGGAAACTCTCCAGACTTCCTGTTTCACCCAAAGGAGGGCATGTGTGTGGGATGGGGTGGGTGCAGAGCCATAGACAATAGAGGAAATAGGCTGGGATGTTGTAGCTGGGGAAGGGACCGGAGAGGGGGAAGGGCATAGCTCCACCCCTGGAGGAGGAACAGAAACTCTTGCAAAAGGCCACACCCCTGAGACCAGAGCAAGCCCACTAGAAGCCTGAACCTCCCCCACTGGACCAGCACAGCAATAAGGCTCCAGCATAAAGCAGCGATTGCAGCTGAAAGAGGTGCAGGACACAGACTCAGGACCAGGACAAAGGGAGCCTCCAGAGCCAAAGAGGGCAGAGAAGACATGGGTACAAAGGAATGCGAAGCCGGGGCGCCTAGAGCTACAACAAGCATTACATGCAGCCCAACTCCTGGCAAGATTAACATCAATCCTCACGTTAAAGGCCTGTTTCCCTCCGTATTTATTTCCTATACAAAATGCCCAGCTTTCCAGAAAAATTTAGAAGGCAGGCTGTATTAGCTTCCCGAGGCTGTTGTAACAAGTCACCGCAAAGTTTGGTGGCTTAAAACAGAAATCTATTCTCTTATGCTCTGGAGATCAGAAATCCAAAATCAGTCAGTATCACTGGGCTAAACCCGAAGTGTCTGCAGGGCTGCACTCCTCTGAAGGCTCTGGGGGCGAATCCCATCCTGGCCTCTTCCGGTCGCGGCCGGCATTCCTTGGCTTCTGGTTGAATTACTCCAATCACTCTCTCTCTCCATGGTCAGATCACCTTCTCCTCTGTGTGTCAAAGCTCCCTTTGCCTCCTCTTGTAAAGACTCATGTGGTTGCATTCAGAGTCCACCTGGATAATCCAGGATTATCTTCCCCCTCTCGATCTGTTATCCAGTCTTCCACACATGTCAAAGGGCATAGAACAAATATGGGCTCAAGAGAAAAAACAATCATCAGAAGCAGACTCAGATATAACATCTTATGAGTGTCAGAGAGCAAGGAAGTGATGAGGATGTAACAAAGAGACACAGGAGCCAACATTTGCCCTAATAGTCAAAATTGGAACCATTTGGGCAACAAAAGAAATAACATAGTATGTAGATGGTGCAAAATATAAAGCAAATATCCACGAGTCCACATTGATATAATAAATGATAGAATAAACACAAAACAGAAGAATTCCAAAGAACGTATGTTGCTAGTGCCCCCGCAATGAGGCGGAGGTGGAGAGTTGTTCTCTACCTCTTCAGTGTGGGCACTGCACAGCGACTCCCTTTTACAGAGAACAGGATGGAAAAGGGGAGGAAAGAGTAGCATTCCACTGGAGAAACCGGGCAAGCAGCACCTTAGCTAGGTGATTAGGTTAACATCATTATGATAAGTGATGTGGATGGCATGTTCTCTTGATATAACGCATTGACAAGACACTTTACCTCTGAGGTCTTCCTCAAAACCCATAACTCCAGACTGATCACGAGAACAACACTGGACAAACTCAAATTGACGGGCCTTCTACAGAAAACCTGATTATTTGAGGAGTGCTGGTCATCTGTCAAGGTTGTCAAAAAAACAAAACACCAAGGAAATTAAGAAACTGTCACAGCCACATGGAGCCTAAGGAGCTGGGGTGATTAAATGCAATATCTGGTATTCTGGATGGGATCCTGATGACTACATGCAATGTGGTATTCTGGACGGGGTCCTGGAACAGAGCAAAGACACTGAGGAAAAACGAATGAATAAAGTATGGAGTTTCGCTAACAGTAATGTATCACTGTTGGTTCTTTAGTTGTGACAAATGGATCGCAGTAATATAAAATATTAACAATGAGGGAACCTGGGCACCGGGGTAGATAGGACCTCTGCACAGTCTTTGGAACTTTTTCTGTAAATCTATTATCAAATGAAAGCATTGTTTAAATGTATTTTTTAACGACCACAGTAGTTCATGTCCTTTTGGTCATGCCTTTGCAATATGCCTTTGCCACTCCTCCCTGGCGGAGGGGTTTTTCCATTTCCCCAGCTTTGAATCCGGGCTAGGGCCTTCCTCGCTTGGACCAACAGAATGTGATGAAATATGATGCCAGCCATGGGATTTCAGGAGGTCTTGATGTTTCAGGATGATGAAAGACATGGCCCGGGCACCCTTCTTGCCCCAGCGGACAGCCAGCCAACTCCCAGACATGTGATTGACCCATTCTCCCTTAACAAGCGAACTCCCAGCTGCCCTGCCCTCTGACCCAGAACAGGGAGGCAGGGCAGAGTGAGCCCAGCCTGGCCCAGACCAGCAGGGCCCCCGGTGATCCATATGAGCAATAATGAAGCTTTTTTGTTTAAAGCCTTTTGTTCATTATACAACAATCGCTAAGTGAATCACTCCTACCTGGGTCTAACAGTGTATGCACTCGTACAAGGTTATTTGTTGTAAGGTTATGATTACAAAAGCTTGGGAACCGCCTAAAAGCTCATCAATAGAAGACCGATCAAATAATTATGAAGTTCATACAATAGAATATTATGCAGCTGTTCAAAAGAATGAGGCAGCTCAATGTGAATCAATATAGAACATATTCCATGATTCATGTTTAGGTAAAGCGGCAAGATGCGAGGAGGATATGGAGGGAACGACTGATCCTGTAAAACCTTTTTATTCACATAGACTTTCTGCTGGAGGATATACAAGCAGCATATGACAATGGCTGCCTCCCTCCAGGAAGGGGACTGGGTGGCTGGGAACAAGAGTGGAAGGGAGACTTCCTTTTCACTCCACCATCTTTTTAATCTTTTGAATCATGTAAATGTGTTATCTATTCAGAAATAAATAAAAGCAGAATGAAAAAACTGCTGTGCCTTTCAAATTCAGTCTATTATTCTCGATTCCCATGATTCCCAAATCCACCTGCACCGCGAATAGCAGGGTGGGGGTGGGAGGGGATGAGCTGTAGTTTCTCCCTCCTTCTCCCTGGCAGCCCCCACCACGTGCTCAGCGAAGCTCCCTTCCCTGATCCCCTTGTTTTTCAGATCTCGGGCGGCACCACCTCGCCGGCCACTGGAGGGCAGCGTGGGGCTGCCTTCCCAGCAAGGAGCTGCGCAGAGATTATGGTCTGCCCTAAACAGCCGGCTGGTTCCTGCAGAAAGGGTCCGGCCTGCTGTATTAAAAATAATAAAAATTAAGATAAAAAAATAATAACGGGTTTCAGCTTGGGAGAAAAACTTACCCCAGAGCCCCATTCCAGGCCCCGGAGCAGCCAGCCATTTCCCTTCCTGTGCCCAGGAGAACCTGTGCGCCTTCTGGGGGTTGGGGTGGGGGGACGTGGGGGGAGAGGAGAGAGATGACTAATAGCTCCTTGCTCCTCACCCCTACCGGGCTCTACGAATTTACCCTCCGGGCTGCTGGAGACTAGCACTCCTTATACTCCGGAGACCGGGACGGTTTGCCTTTGACCCTCTGCGCGACCTTGAAAAAGCCCCTTCCTACCTTGAGCCAGTTGCACATCTGCACACTGGGAGAGGTGGCTGCAAGGATAAATTAAGCACCGGATTTGTGACACCGAAGATGCTAAGGCTATTTGATTCCCGTTTGGCAGATGTGACAGCTGAGGCATCGAGAGGCAGTCACTTGCTCATGGCTACACAGCCCGCAAGGGGCGGAGCAGGATTCGAATTCAGGTTTTCCCGAATCTTGAACCCCTGCTCTGACCACTTAGCTCATCCTGCCTCCAGTGACTGCCGGGAGGGAGGTGGCTAAGGAAAAGCGCTGGAAAGGGGGGTCCGAGCCCACATTCTCTGAGCCCCTTCTGGGTCTCGGGCGCGCACCCCTCCGGGAAGCTGCTTTCCGGGGGAGACAGGCCTGGTGATACCCATGCGCCCCCCTCGGACAGGTGCGGGGATCGAGGTCCTGGGCTGCGGAGGAGAGGGCTGGGACCTGAG